GTCGGCGAACGCCGCTCTCAAGACGCACGATTATAACAATCACATCATACAGGTAATGAGACAAAAAAATTATATGGTCGAACTTCTGATCTAATGACCATCAGGTTTTAGGATACGAGTGGCTGATAAGGACGAGTTCAACCTCCTTCTGTTGGTTGCAATGCCGATGAGGTTATACTCTACCAGCAGTGTGCTTTACTTCGAAGGAATCATTCTTGCCGTTTCAATATCAAAATGGCTAAGTCTTGTCAGAGGCTGGATAATAGGTAGTTGGAACTTTTTGAGAGAAAATTCGTATTGGCCGTGCTCCGGGTGTCTGATAGCCTACTGCGCCTCTCACGTGCAGTCTAGTTCCTGCTCAATCAGTTATTCACACTGGCCAACCCACTTCAAGGCCGACGAAGACTACCATCGCTCAAGGCGCATGCCTCCCTGTCAGTCAGGACGCCTGCTCTCGCGGCGCCGGACGTGTATTCGTCCGATCAAACCTATTCTTCAATTATTCTGTATAGAATGCAATGTTCTCTCTCCTGCCGTAAAAAATCTCTTTTTTTCAATTCGGAATCGGGTCTCAAGGTCGTAGTGTCTACTTATGGCTTAAGCTATCACCACATCTCTTAAGGGCAATGAATTTTTTGCCTCTTTCACGATCTGAGAATGATAGAACACAGGCACGCTAAACAAACTTTTCTTGAACTGGTACCTCAATATGAGCAAAACTCTTCAACAGTGCTCAGGATCTCCTTTGCATTAAGAAATCTCTGGTCACCGATTCTATCCTGTCATAAGAATTGTAGGCTCTACTTAGAATGAATGCGATTGTCAGCCAGCACATAAGATTAGAGGCGTAAGAACCCAGCAGCAAGTTAGGCTCATGGGAGCAAGCCGAGTAATATATAAAGCCGTTTACCTAAATTACGCATTTTGCGAAACCTACAAAAAAATATATACATTAAACAATTATTGCCCTTTTGCACAATAAGTCTGCAAAAAATAACGAGGATCAGTAGCAAGGCTTAGAGCCGCTCCACACCGTCCTCCTCTATCATCTTCCGAAGTACGTTTTTATTCTGTACCAAATGACAGACCACATACTAAGGAAAATGAGCAGTTCGCACATTTAAGCGCTTACTGAAAATTTACCTTGGCACCTCAAACTATTAATAGGAAAAAGATTAAGTTCAAGCATAAAAACAAACTATGCTGTCTTTGGAGGCAATAAGCAAACCCCATCTGGCACTTAAGCGTTGATTATGAACGCATACACTAGTTCCCAAAAAGGCGGAAGGAATGCAAACGTATATAAACAGCGGTCATCATCACGAGTATACGACCGACGTAATATTTACATAGAATGCCAATCTGACTTGGTCTCCGCAACCTGTTTATGGGCTATGTAAAGGAAGAATATACTGGAAACAGCACTGACTAGGAAAATGACATCGAACCATCTGTGGTAGAAGTGGAACTGTAGATCACCCAGAATTTGAGTCAAAATCGTGCGGTATTCGGCCGTCATGTTCATTCGTAGTAAGACTACGGAGGACAAGAAATAGGTGCCCATTATATGTGCTATGAGGAGCACAATAACATTTGACGACTTGGTACTGGCGATTGCGTAAAAGAATTTGGTTAAGGTGATCAGAAGACCGCGTATGGAGGTCACAACAATCACGCCAACGAGCCAGAAGGAAATTTGCTGCGACCAGAACTTCACATTGAATTCGAAGCCGAAGTAATGTACGGCGATGTCAATACCTCTGGTGATGGGATCCTGAAGGCCTACCCGATTGAAGAGGATATTTATGGTGGACACAAATATCTTCCAAATGCAGTAGACGCAAAAGAAATAGCCCAGAAAGTTAAAGTAGATGCCCTTGAGAGTCCGTGAAAATTCAATGCGTTCCTGCGCGCACCGAAGGTTGTGGAGCTCGAGGAAGAGGTGGCGGCTGACTTCTTCGAGACTAACAATCTAGGTGGGAAAAGTATATTTCAATATTTGCTGAAGAGCCAAAGCAAAGTAAGAATGGAATAGCCGAGTGTCCTCAAGAAATCTGTCAGCGTTCATTCAAACAGACACTTGCATAAGCAGAACAGTTTTTTTGGGTACAAACAGCAACTTCAAAGGAAATGTACATTTTCAAAACGTTTAACGAAATTTAAGAGTATATAGTGCAAAGGTGAGACATTTTTTCCCTTGTTTCCTACGCGCATTAGTAGCCAAATAAATGCCTGAAGCCGGCATACTGACCCGCGTATACGGGTTGGTAAACAATGAAGTTTCCAATGCGTGGACTCTTACCTCAGTAGTGATGGGTACTCTATGATAACACCAAAGAAACAGATCAGGAATATACACATGCACTTTCGAAATGCGAACGTCAGTTCATTGTCAGAAC